ACAACCTGCGGCCGTACTTCATGGCCGCTAACGTCGGCGTCTACGTGCTGCGGTGAGGGCCTTGAGGAGCATGGAGCGGTTCAGATGGGTGCTATGAGGAACTCTCATGTATTGTGGTAGTATAGTACCGTACGTTGACCTCACGTTTCCCGCTCTGTCCCCTTGTATCTCTGTCGACCTTTTTCTTCCTCTCCTCTTACCTTCCAGGCGGCCATTTGGGGTGTCGGGTATCATGTGGTAGAGACCACAAGGACATGCTCACAATCGACCTCCCTTTGTCGGGCCTCCTGTCGACCTCCCTCTGTATTCTCTGTACCCCGTTCTCCCCGTCCCTGCTGTCTCGGGCCCCCCAGGCGGCCATCTGGGGAGTCATGTGGTTCGCCCTCAAGGACATTGCCACGATCGACCTTCCTCGGTGTGACCCCTTACCCACCTCCCTTTGCTAAATGTACCGTTCGTCTCTCCCGTCTCGCCCCCCCAGGCGGCCATCTGGGGAGTCATGTGGTTCGACCACAAGGACATGCTCACGATCGATCTCATTGCCAAGCTCTTCTTTACGGGTCAGTTGACATTCTCTCCCATTTCCGGCTTTTAAGGCGCCTCAACACAGACATCAATCTCATTTCTCGACTGATCTTTCACTAGTCCGGTTCATGCATTGCATTTCGGTGTGATCCATGTCGCCCTCTCCCTTCCCCGCGCCCCTGCGTCCATCCCACCACAACTTTCTCCCCTTTCCCCCACCCCCCACCTACCTCTCCCCTTTCCACCCTTCCCCCTTCTCTCCCCTTTTTCGTTCCCATGTCCACCGCCCTATGCCTTTCCTCTTCTGTTTTAATTCCTTTCACCCTCTCATAACCTTCTTTACCTTGTTCTTTCACCCCGGCCCTGCCCTCGCCCCCGCCTCATTTCAGCTGTCTGCTTTGAGTCGACTCAAAAGCCGCCTCATAATCTTGTTTACCTTGGTCTTTCACCCGATCCTGCCCTCACCTCCCATTGCAGCTGTCTCGCTAGCAGCTGCGGCAGGATTTCTGCTCTATGGCGGCCAGGTTAGGTTAGTAAATGTGAGGTGTGAGAATGTCTTGTCCTCCTCCTCCTCCTCCTCCTCCCCCTCCTCCTCTCCTCCCCTCCTCCTCTCCTCCCCTCCTCCTCTCCTCCCCTCCTCTCCTCCCCTCCTCCTCTCCTCCCCTCCTGCAATCCTTTCCCTCTCTGTGGCTCATATCTCCTCGTCCGCTCCACGCTTCGGTTCGTTAAGCGATTTTATCAAAACGCCTTCAATGTTTTTCTTCTTTTTTGGCTCGCACAGTCACCTTTGCAGCATTGCACATTCGCCTTTCCTCTCTCGCCCACTTTACTCTCTCTGCAGTCGCTCCCTCACTCCTCCCCTATCCGATACTCTCCTCCCACCTCCGCTTCCCCTCTCACCCTCAGGCACTTCCTCATCGTACAAGAGTTCCCCATTCAGTCCCTCCCCTGCCCCCTTCCCCCCCTTCCCGCTTCCCTCCTCTCCCTCCCCGTTGTTTCTCCTCCCCCCGGTTTCCCGTCCCCCTCGTGTCCTCTCCCCCGCCCTCCTATCAGGCTCTTCCTCATGCTGCGGCAGTTCCCCATTGAGTCAAGGGGTCGCAGAAAGAAGCTTCACGAGGTAAGAGCGGTTTCTTGTTGCATGAGGTTTTAGGATCGCCTCATTTCTGGCTTTGGACGATTTTTTTTCTCTCTCTCCCTCTCTCTCCGGTCTTTGATTTATCATCGTGTGCTTGCCTCAAATGTTTTAGTTGGTTTATCTCTCCCTCTCTCCCCTCCCATTCACAGTCCGTTCTCGTGCCTGTATTCGTGCCCCTCTGCGCTTCCCTGTGTTACCCTATGTTACCCTGTATTCGCCTGTGTTCGCCTGCAGGTTGGCTTCGTGACTCTCATCTGCTTCTCCTGCTTCATCATCCGAGCTGCCGTGGTGAGTGCTGCTGCACTCAACATGTGCCACCAGGGATGCATCTGAAATGTGCACCATGTATCATGGGTACATCATGGGTACATTATGGGTACATCATGGGGGCATTATGGGGCATCATGGGGGCATCATGGGGGCAGCATGGGGACAGCATGGGGGCCAGCATGCCATGCATCACGAGCCATGCCGTTGCTGTTGCTGCTGATGCTGCTGCTGCCGATGCTGCCACATTATGTGTGCAGTGCTTATAGCTGCACTACATGCTGTGTACTTAACTTTCCCACGCTTTCTCCGCCACCACCTCTTTGTATCGACCCAGATCACTTCTTCAGCCCTCTTGAGCACGGCATGGCAGGGCGTGGTGCATGGAAACCTTTCCTGTTTCAACCCATTTCCCCTTCCCTTCCTCTTCTCTCACGCTCTTCTCTCACGCTGTTCCATCACGCTCTTCCCTCTTTTTTGATCAAAAGAGATTGCCTATTCAGCCCTTGTGAGCAGTTCATGGTGGCTGGACGTGGTGGACGACCCCTGGGTCAATGTTCGCCTACTTCTGCAGCATTCCCCATTCCTCTTCATTACCCTTCTTTGCCCTCCTCTTTCCGCACTCTCTTCTCCTGCCCCGCCCTACCCATTTCCCCTCCATGTATCCACGCAGATCCCCTATTCAGCGCTTGTGAGCAGTTCATGGCTGGACGTGGTGGAGGACCCCTGGATCAATGTCACCCTCTTCTCAAAACCCCCTCCCTCCCCCCCTATCCCCCCTGCTTTTCCACACTTCCATCCCTTATATTATTCAGATCGCCTATTCAGCCCTTGTGAGCAGTTCATGGCTGGACGTGGTGGAGGACCCCTGGCTCAACGTCGCTTACTATGCTGTAAGCCTCCCTGCACCCACATGCACCTGTGCCCACATGCCCATGCACCCGCATACCCCTGCACTCACATGCCCTTGCACCCACATGCACCTGCACCCGCATACCCCTGCACCCACATACCCTTGCACCCGCATAACTCTGCTCCCGCATACCTTTGCACCTTCCCTTTCTCCTTCCTCCCTCTCCCTCTTCACCTCTTGCCACTGCCCCTCTTCCTGCGTGCCAGTGTGTGGAGCTCATCCCAGCAGCCCTGGTGCTCTGCATTCTCCGCAAGCTGCATCCAAGTGCATTCGTTTCCACCTAAAGTTTCGCCTCCACTGCTCCCCTCTTCTCCCCATTCCTCCTCCTTTGTGCTCTCCCTTCCCCACCACCTTTCCCTCTTTGCCAGTGTGTGGAGCTCGTCCCAGCAGCCCTGGTGCCCTACATCTGCGCAAGCTGCCTCCAATTGCAATCACTTTCACCTGACGTTTCTACCCCCATTGCTCCCCTCTTCTCCCTGTTCCCTCTCTCCCTCTTTGCCAGTGTGTGGAGCTCGTCCCAGCAGCCCTGGTGCCCTACATCTGCGCAAGCTGCCTCCAATTGCAATCACTTTCACCTGACGTTTCTACCCCCATTGCTCCCCTCTTCTCCCTGTTCCCTCTCTCCCTCTTTGCCAGTGTGTGGAGCTCATCCCGGCAGCCCTGGTGCTCTACATTCTCCGCAAGCTGCCTCCGAAGCGCAATGCCAATACCCAGGCCCTGCGCTAAGCTCACAAATACCAGTGCTTACAGTCACACACAGCTACGGATCAAATGCAATGGCACAGTGCATTGATGATGTGTGGTGATGCAGTGTGTGCGCACTGATGCAGCGGGTGTTTCAGGCTTTGTGTTACACAGAATTGTTGTGGATGGTGGGAAATGTTACCGATACTGTACGGTACATGCAGCACTGGGGGCTGCACTTTGAGAAGAGCTTTGTAGCGCAGCAGTGTACTTGAGAGTGCAGCAGCACCTGCAAACAGCACTTGAACAGCATTTGAATCTAGCAATCCTGCTTGGATGAAGGGACTTACGTCACGTCACGGGTCCATATGTGGTAGTAACTTGGCCTGTTAGCTCAGCAGAACCCCTGGCCCTATTTTATCCTGCCATGCTCTCAATGGCAATATGTAAAATTATAAGTTTCACTTAAAAATTTGAAGATTGTGATTCGACTAGTAGAGGAGTTTGCAGTAAAGGAGACAACCTCCTTTACATTCCGGCAGGTCTCTCAGACCTGCCACCTACCGTATTCCCCCGGATAAAACACCCGGGGGTATTATGATAAATACCGGGAAAAAATGGGGGGGTCTCCTCAACGGAAAGTCCTAAATAATACCCGGGTCTTATTATATAGTACATACTTTTTTAAAGCAGAATCGATGTGTTTCAAAATGTGGTGTGTGACTTCACTTCTTGTTTGTTAAACAGTGCCGCAAAACCGAGTATACGAGGATAACGTGACCGCCCACTGGACTCTGCCACATGGCAACTTCCAGTGGGCTAACTATGGACCCTGATTGGCTGGAAACAGAGCCAGTCATGCAACTCCCGAGGCCGGAATCGCGCACGAAGCTGCGTTGTCACTGTACCAGTCAAGACGTGACCGCATTGGTCACGTCCCTGTCCCACACAGACTGGGTTTGTACCTCTAACTGTGTGAAATGTGACCTAAAATTGCACTTTTGCCGCACATAACACCCACCCCCCGGGTCTTATATAGGATCACCCCAAAAGGGGGGGTATAGTACCAACGGGGTCAAATATAACACCCCCCCCGCACAAGCTACCCGGGGGTGTACAATTCGGGGTGGGTGTTTTATCCGGGTGAATACGGTAGTCTCATTAGCATTTTTCAGATCTTCATTTGCTTACCACCAGTACACTCCCTAAACCCCTCCTATGCCTAGAAATAGGCATAGGAGCACTCTCATCAACGACGTGGTCAATGTAAGACTTTCTGCTATGGCTACTGGATTTGTTTCCGCAGTAACCGGTCGCCCTCCCGCTCCAAGAATGGTTACGCGCAGCAGCGGCAGGCGTGGGTCCCCGCAAAGGGACGAGGATCGCGGGTCCTCCTCCCAGCGTGACCGTTCGCGATCTCCGCGTCGGAACAACGGAACCACGACTTTATCCGCTTTGGAGCTGTTGAATGCGAGGCAACCCCCTGTTTCCGCTCCCGAAATGGTCGCCGACGGACCTGGTCGCAATGGCGGTAACGAGCGCGGGCCCCCCGAATTTCACGGCGAAGGGCGAATTTCGCGTGCAACCGTCGACCCGTCCCAGCCCGGCGAAAACGCCCCAGCTCGACAGGCTCCAACAGTGCAGGCGCAGGACCGCAATGATGGCGGTCCTGCACAAGCAGATCGTGAGAATTGCGAATCTGCACGTGCAGATCGCAATCCTCGCGATTCTGCTCGTGCAGATCGCGAGCGCGATTCTGCTCGGGCAAATCGCGAGCGAGATCCTGCACGTGGGCCGCGACAGTGTTAGAATCTGGTAGCAGGAATGGATGAACTAACAGCATGCAGGAGTACAAGTAGTAAACCCTAATTGGGTTGTACCCCATATGGGCTACCCCACTACAGCCTAGACAATATGCAGCATGTATGTTTGACACACCCCCATAGGCAAAGTGGGGGAGAACAAGAGGTCACACGACCAGTCAAGAGACGCAAAGCAAGCTCAGGGTGGATCTCAACGTCACCACACATTCTGAGCACAAGCAAAGGGCCGCAAGGCCAGTCCACATGCAGAGATATATATAAGCAACAAGAGCAGTACAGTGATCAATACCTAGCAAGAGCAAGCATGCAGGTATAAATATAGAGCACAGTACACACAAAAGACTACAGCAAGTGTGGAAACGTAGGCACAAGGCCTAACAAAGTACAAAAGCGCTGATGATCACCAGACGGAAGTGCCTTGGTGAATATATCAGCAGTGTTGGCCCTAGTGGCCACGTGTGCAAGACGAAGCTGACCACGCTGCTGCAGCTCTCGAGCCAGAAAGTACCGCAGAGCGATGTGCTTCGTTCTGTGCTCCAGTCTGTGCTCCTCACACAAGGCAATGGCAGCCTTGTTGTCGACGTACAGCACTGGAGGAGAACGAGGCCGCTCTCCCAGGTCGGTCAGCAGGTAGGTGAGCCAGCGTAACTCCTGAGCAGCCATGGCGGTGGCGTAGATCTCAGCCTCACAACTGGAGCTGAGAACAGAAGACGAGCGAGTAGAACGCCAAGAAACAGAACCAGAGCCAAGGCTGAAAGTGTAACCCTGTGACGACCGCTGCGTAGCCAGGTCGTCAACCCAAGAAGCGTCTGAGTGCCCAGTGAGGACCACCTCTCGCCGTCCTCCAAGCACGAGCCCCATGCCCGATGTACTGCACAAGTAGCGCAGTACCCTCTTTGCAGCATCCCAGTGCACCTTTCGGTGCCGGCCAGGAGCCACGTAGCGAGCCAGAAGGCCAAGAGGGTACGCAAGGTCAGGACGAGTGCAAGTCATCAGGTACATGAGGCAGCCCACTAGCTCTGGGTAAGGACCACTCGGCTCTACGGACTCATCCGAAGGCAGAGCTGAGAGCGAGTGACCTATAGCCAGAGGAGTGGCCTGTGCTGAGGACCAGGTGAAGCCGAAGCGCTGAAGGACCTGCTGCACCATGTGTGACTGAGTCAGTGTGATGGTGCGGCGTGCTCGGTCCCGGGTGATCTGCAAGCCAAGGTAGCTGCGCAGCTCACCCAGGTCTGTGCACGTGTGTCTCTTCTGCAGCTCTGACTTCACCAGGGCGAGGGCCTCAGTGTCAGCAGTAGCAAAGACCAAGTCGTCGACGTACACGAGGATATAGAACGGCGGCAACGAAGTGTCGGTGCGTAGAAACAGTGAAGGGTCAGCAGTCGAAGGTGCAAACCCAAGAGCCGCAAGAGTAGTCCTCAGTGTGTCGTGCCACTCACGGGGTGCCTGGCGGAGACCGTAGACTGGCCGGCGGAGGCTCCACTGGGTACCAGGAGGGAACGTCCCAGTGAAGCCAGGTGGGCGGCGCAGCCAGATCTCCTCGTGCAGGCTGCCCTGTAGGAAAGCTGTGCTGAAGTCAAGGGAGTGAAGCTCGTAGTCACGCTGAGCGGCAACGTGCAGCAGCACCCGAAGAGTAGTCATCTTCGGGGTAGGGGAGAAGGTCTGGAAGAAGTCAACTCCTTCTCGCTGACTGAAGCCTCGAGCAACGTAACGCGCCTTGAAGACAGGCGGAGAACCTGGCGGCCGCTTCACCCTGAAAATCCACATGCCATCGACGATGTTCGCCCCGGGAGGGGGAACCTCATCGACGTAAGTGCCTGTGGACTTCCAGGATGCCATCTCTGCGTCCATGGCTGCCTGCCACTGAGAGGAGTAGGGACTCGCGATCGCCTCAGCGTAAGAGCGCGGTGTGGGGATGTCAAGTGCATCCGGGTCTCCCTCAGGGGCAAGCAGCATGGCTACGAGATGAGGCGCAGCGGCTGCAAGAGACTCAAGGTCCTCGTGCCTGTCCTCAAGGACGTCCGTGCCAAGGGCACACTCACCCCCGACGGACGGAGGACAGACAGACTCAGACTCAGCAACAAGACTAGCAGCGTAGTCTAGACGACAGGCAGCAGCAAAGTCAACAAGCTCAGCGACCAGGGCAGACGCAGCAGCAGACTCAAACGACGGGTCAGTGACAACAGTGGCTAGCAGACGCGTGACAGTAGGGTGCTCAGCACGAAACCGGTCAGACTCAGGGTCCGCGATGTCAGGTAAAGAGGACGTAGGGGGGGACGGAAGAGGAGTACGCTCCGGAGTAGGGGACCGACGCAGGGCTACAAGGCGTGTGCCGGGGACAGCCGGCTGACGCGGACGAGGAACACGACGACCGGTACGACTAGGACGAACAGGCGAGACAGGACGCGACGCAGGCTCACGACGCTCAGCAAGACTACCTGTCTGCTCAGTGTAAGGAGAAGGAGCAGGCAGCGGTGAGCCAGGCTGTAACGGAAGACCAGTAGACGACGGGAGAGTAAGAACCTGACGAAGAGCAGAGTCAGGTGGCGGCAGAGACGACGGAGACGGCGGAGCGAAGAACAGTCGTGGCGGCGCAGCTGCACCAGTACCGGTAGCTCCAGCAGCTCCAGTACCTCCAGCAGCTCCAGCACCTCCAGCAGCTCCAGAAGCTCCAGCAGCAGAACCGACACCTCCAGGCCCAGGGTCTCCAACCCCAGTGCCTCCAGCAGCAGCACCCCCAGAACCAGCACCTCCAGTCCCAGGGTCTCCAGCCTCAATGTCTCCAGCAGCAGCACCCCCAGAACCAGCACCTCCAGTCCCAGGGTCTCCAGCCTCAATGTCTCCAGCAGCAGCACCCCCAGAACCAGCACCACCAGTCCCAGGGTCTCCAGCCTCGGTGTCTCCAGCAGCAGCACCTCCAGACGCAGCACCCCCAGCCCCAGCAGCTCCAGTACCTCCAGTACGAGCACCTCCGGGACCAGTGACTCCAGCACCTCCAGAAGACCAAGTACCAGCACCACTCCTAGCTCCAGGGACGTCAGTAGAAGGACCTCCAGCAGCAGAGCCCCGGGCTCCAGCAGCGCGACCCTGACGGCGACCGTACCAGTCGTGCAGCTGCTGCGAGGTGAGAGGCACACGTGGACGAAGGCGGCTACTCCAAGGAGACCGCGCAACAGCAGACTCTGAACCCTCAGCGCCAGCACCCTCAGCAGCTCCAGCGCCACCAGCACCAGGACCACCAGCAGCTCCAGAACCTCCAGCGCTCGCACCCTCAGCAGCCCCAGAACCACCAGCTCCAGCGCCACCAGCACCAGGACCTCCAGCAGCTCCAGAACCTCCAGCGCCCGCACCCTCAGCAGCCCCAGAACCACCAGCTCCAGCACCTCCAGACCCCTCACACGCAGGCTCAGCACCTCCAGGCTCCACACTCTCAAGCTCCGCACCCCAAGGCTCAGCACCCCCAGAAGTAGCACCCCGAGCAGGACCACCCCCAGTAGGACCTGAGTCACCAGTGACCTCGACCGGCACAGGGAAGGAAGGAGGGTCTACCTGAGACACACCTGAAGGAGCAGGACCGGGAGCGGGGAGGGGGTCTACCTGGGGAGCACCTGGAGCGAGGAAGAGCGGCGGGGGAGGGAGAGGGGCAGTGCGGTAGGGGAAGAGACGGTAAAAGGGAACCGACTCATCGAACGTGACGTCCTGAGACGCAAAGACACGGCGCGAGGTGGGATGGTAAAACTGCCAACCAGGCGCGTCAGGGACAAAGCCAAGGAAGACACAGGGAACAGCACGGGCGGAGAGCTTGTCCGCGGTGGTATCGCGGACAAAGGCACGAGCACCCCAGACCCGGAAACGCGACGCATCGCCAACCTTCCCCGTCCACAGCAGTGTGGGCGAGGTCTCCGGCAAGGAGACACGGGGCCAGAGGTTGAGCTGATGCGCGGCGTACCGGACCGCAAACGGCCACAGAAAATGGGGGGCAGCCGCATGGATCATGGAGGTACGAGCGACCTCCATGACTAAGCCAATGCGGCGCTCAGCAACCCCATTCTGCTGCGGAGAGGCCGGAAGCGTGAACGACTGGGTGATGCCGTGCTCCGCACAGAAGGCTGCCAAGAGGTCTGAGGAGAACTCACCACCTCTGTCAGAGTGCAGACGCAGGACGGGAAACTCCGTCCCGAACCGCTCGCGGAGCTGGAGACGGGCAGCGCGGATCCAAGGGATCAAAACAGCAGGGACCTCCCCCTTGCTGCGCAGGGGAAAGACCGTGGTGTAGCGCGTGTAGTCGTCAACAACCAGCAGGAAGTACCGCTCGTGGCCCTGTCCACGGACGCGGGCTGGGCCCCACACGTCCAGGTGGAGAGTCTGCAGGGGAGCCTCTGTGGGAGGGAACGAGGAGGAGTGAGGAGCGGCGCGCTGCCGCCCCTCGACGCAAGGAATGCAGGGCGGCGCAAGCGAGGGAGGCAGGGCAGGCAAAGACCTGGGCAGACCAGAAACCAGGAAGCGAGAGTGCATGCCACGAAGGCGCTGCACCGAGGGGTGACCAAGGCGGTGGTGCCACAGGAGGGTCTGGTGCGACAAAGCGCGACACTCGCAGGGGGCCGTCGGCTGACCTGACGCAGACGCAGCTACCTGAGGGGACTCAGTGGTCAGGGTGTACAGACTCGAGCCAGGCGCACGGGAAAACGTGGCCAGGTGTCGGCCGGTCCGAGCACACGTACAGTGAGTCACTCGCTGACTCGCAGGAGTGAACTGGTGCACCCCCCTATCCTGGAGGTCAGCTCCACTCACCAAGTTCGTAGAGAATGAGGGGAGGTAAAGACCTGACAGCAAGCCAGACGGGGCGGCCGGACACGGCAGAACCGTGGAGTAGTGGGCAAGGACTGGACCCCCGGAGGGGTCCGCCAGGGAGACTGGAACCGGCCGACTAAGCGGCGTGAGTGTGGTACAGTCGCGAAAGAAGGAGCGGGAAGCACCTGAGTCAAGCGTGAAGGTGTACAAGGCCGCAGCAGGCGCAGAACTAGAGAGAGCAGACTCACCAGCACCTGGAGCAGGAGACGTACTGGCACCTAGAGCAGCAGCCTCACCAGCACCCAGAGGAGGAGACGCACTAGCACCTAGGGCAGCAGCCTCACCAGTACCGGGAGCAGCAGGCGCTATACCAGGGTCAGGCGGGACGCACAGGTAACAGGCACGGTCAACACTAGTAGGCAATGCATACATGGCAGTGAGAATAGCATCATAGTCAGGAGCAAAGATATCTACCCTCTGTCCAAGCAGCTCCAGCCAGTCGGGGAGCTCAGCCTCGTCGCCAAACACTGTACGCCAGTCGTCGCTCAGACGGGCGAAGCAGCGGGACTGTGTGTGACCAAGCGTCCCGCAAGGCTGACCAACCCGAGCACCTGTGCGAATGACGTACTGGCAGCGAACTGTACGCGTAGACCTGCTAAACTGAGCGTACCACTCGTGGAGCTGCCGGGACGTAAGTGTCTCGCGCGGACGCCGCTGCAGCTGCAGCTGGCCACTGCCAGACGCTCCCAACTGACCAGCTCCAGGGGGACAGCTACGACTGCTACCGCGACAACCCCAGCTAGTATACCACTCACTAAGCTGCTGGGGCGTGAGAGACTCACGTGAACGTCGCTGGAGCTGCATCTGGCCACCGGCCAGTAGCAGTAGCAGCAGCAGTAGCGCGGGCAGGGCAGGCGCGGCAGGCCGACAGGCAGGCAGGCCGGCAGGCAGACAGACAGACAGGCCGGCAGGCAGGCAGGCAGGCAGGCAGGCAGGCAGGCAGGCAGGCAGACAGGCAGGCAGGCCGGCAGGCAGGCAGGCAGGCAGGCAGGCAGGCAGACAGGCAGGCAGGCAGGCAGGCAGGCAGGCGGGCAGGCAGGCAGGCCGGCAGGCAGGCAGGCAGACAGACAGACAGGCCGGCAGGCAGGCAGGCAGGCAGGCAGGCAGGCAGACAGGCAGGCCGGCAGGCAGGCAGGTAGGCAGGCAGGCCGGCAGGCAGGCAAGCAGACAGGCAGGCAGGCAGGCAGGTGCTCACCAAAGGCTGGAAGGGCAGGCGCTCGCCGGGCGAGCAGGGCCGGCGCTCAACAGGCGGCGGCGGAGTCGGGGCCGCAACACCCGGTGCAGAGTAGGGCCGCGGCAGCTGCAGGGCGGGGCCGCTTCAGCGGCAGGTCGGGGCCGTGGCAGCTGCAGGGCGGGGCCGTATCAGCGGCAGGTCGGGGCCGAGGCAGAGGGACGCGCGCGGCTCGGCGCGGGCTGCGCTGACAGCGCGCTGGGCTGCTGCAGGCCGCGCGCGGCCGCGCTAGGCAGTAGCGGGCCGCGCGCGGCTCGGCGCGGGCTGCTGCGGGCCGCGCGCGGGCTGCTGCGGGCGGCGCGCGGGCCTCGCGAGGCAGGAGCAAGCCGCGCGCGGCTCGACGCGGGCTGCGTGGGCTCGGCGCGGGCTGCGCGCGGCTCGGTGCGGGCTGCGCGCTGTTGCAGCGGGCTGCGCGCGGCTGCAGCGGGCTGCGCGCGGCTCTGTGCGGGCTGCGCGCGGCTGCAGCGGGCTGCGCGCGGCTCGGTGCGGGCTGCGCGCGGCTGCAGCGGGCTGCGCGCGGCTCGGTACGGGCTGCGCGCTGTTGCAGCGGGCTGCGCGCGGCTCGGTGCGGGCTGCGCGCGGCTGCAGCGGGCTGCGTGGGCTCTGTGCGGGCTGCGCGCGGCTGGAGGGGGCTGCGCGCGGCTCGGTGCGGGCTGCGCGGGCTCGGTGCGGGCAGCGTGCGGTAGCAGCGGGCTGCGCGCGGCTCGGTGCGGGCTGCGCAGGCCTGAAGGGCGTGTAGGGGCGGCGCGCGGGCCTTACGGGCCTCTAGGGGCAGCGCGCTGGCCTAGGGCAGCAGGAGGCAGCGCTAGGGCTGCTGGACGGCTCGCGTAGTGCAGCACGTCACAAGGCAAGGCAAGGCAGGCAGGTACGTGGGGTAGCGCGGTAACCGCAGCGGTAGGTGGGCCAAAAAAAAACAGTCCTACGGACCTTAGTGCTCTGAAACCATGTTAGAATCTGGCAGCAGGAATGGATGAACTAACAGCATGCAGGAGTACAAGTAGTAAACCCTAATTGGGTTGTACCCCATATGGGCTACCCCACTACAGCCTAGACAATATGCAGCATGTATGTTTGACAGACAGAATCTGGACCCTGCACGAGCGGATCGCCGGCCCGATTCGGCAAATCGACGCGCGAATCAGGGCGAGCAGCAGGATCCGCGAAATCAGGCAGCGGGAATTTCGGAAATTGCCGAAATCATTGCTCGCCTTGACCCCGCGAGTCAGCATAACCTGCGGCGAATCTTCACCGAAACAGCCGGCGACCGCGGTATAGCGAGATCCAGCGCTTCTACGGGACGCCTTGCAGCTGAGAATAACTCGGCGCGATATACCGACATAAACATTGGAGCGGCTGCGGATAATAATGATGCAATTCGCCACGCGATCGGCCTCCTCGCGGCGCTTCAACGCGGCAACAACGGAGATCCTGCAGCAGCGGCAGATCCTGTGCGCCCGGCAGCTCCAGCGGCACCTCGTTCCCGCGCTCCTCCTCCCCCTCTTGATCCCGAGGGCGTCGACGACGGCGATCACACTAATCTCGAGAACCTCGACGAAGGTAATCCCGCTCGTCCTAAGGCCCCAGCACCACTTAATCTCGCTCCTATACCGCCCGCTCGTCCTCAGCTGCGCTCATCTCTCGTCAAAAGCGACGGCATTCGCACTCAATTATTTAGTTTCGAACGCATTCAAGCAATTGCACGCCACACTTTTTCTATCTTACCGTCTCAAGGCGGCGAGCAACTTGCTGATTACCTTCAGCAAATCATTGATGAGGCTGAAGAAAAGATTCATTTCCTATTCACCGCGGATCAGCGCGGCTTTGAAGTAGCAAATATGGCTTTAAAGATTAAGTACGGCGAGGTGGTGGAGGACAAAAACGTCAAGGCCGCTACTCAGATCGTGGCGGCTAGCAAAAAGAGGCTGCACAGGCCCACCACCTCGACTCGCCCCAATCCCGCTCCTCGCAATCGAGGCCAAGGAGAACGCCAATGGACTTGGCGTAGGGATGGCGATGGGCGTTGCTTCTATTGCCGCGAGCCCGGCCACGGAATAGCAGATTGCCCGCAGCGGGGCCAAGGGGCTAACCAGCCTGCTAAGATTGTTTAGAATGGATGCTTGTTATATTTATTCTCATACAAGATTATTTGACATAAATGTTACAAAAAAAAAAACCAAGATTTTTACATAATGGGCTTGTTGCACCATGGCAAGAGATGATATATATATTAAAAATAATAATAATAAGACTAGTATTATAATATGTTCCCCTCATACACAGGGGTGGGTATATTACAGAACCTCAATTGGTCCCTCCGTTTGAGCAAAAAAAAAAAAAAAATATTATATATACACACAACAAGTATCCAATCAAAAGATATTTTGATAGAAATCATCGTAGTAGACATTGCTTGGCACGCAAGCCTCATTCTTCGGCTACGCTTTTGCGCCGCGGTGTCATTGCATAGTTTGTGTCAGAATGTTACTTGTCTAGCCTGCAGTGGGGTACTCAACAGTGAGTACAACCCTTTAGGGTTTCCTACTTGTATCCCAACTCTTGCTAGTTCAACCACCTCATTCTCACCATTCTCCTTCGCATACCCAAAACCCTAGTCCTAGGGCACATCCTACTACCTCTTAGTGTGGGCCTAGGCTACTAAGCCTAGGCCCCACTCCTAGTATTCCTGACATGGTATCTAGAGCGAGTACGTTCCTGCCGCTTACCTCCATGGGCCCACCACCTGCTTCCGCTGCCGTACCGTCCGCCGCGCGCCCCGTGGTGCGCGGCGGCGAAACCCTAATTTTTCATCCCGCCGCGCGCTCGGAGCGTGCGGCGGTTTTCTGCCCGCCGTGCGCCCCGAGGCGCGCGGCGGTTTTCTGCCCGCCGTGCGCCCCGAGGCGCGCGGCGGCTTTCTGCCCCGTCACTCCGCGAGTCGCCCCCGGGAGGAGCTGCGACGGGCGACGGGGACCCGCGCGTCGCCCCCCGTCGCCCGTCGTGGCCCGCGCGACCTCCGTAGGGCCCGCGTGCGGCCCGTCCAGCCTGCGCGCGGCCCGTACGGGCTGCGCCAGGCCCGCGCGCGGCCCGTACGGGCTGCGCCAGGCCCGCGCGCGGCCCGTACGGACTGCGCCAGGCCAGGGCGCACCTCGAGCCGCCCGCCACTGCAGCAGCAGCCCCTGGAGCCGCCCGCAACTGCAGCAGCAGCCCCTGGAGCCGCCAGCACCTGCAGCAGCAGCCCCTGGAGCCGCCAGCACCTGCAGCAGCAGCCCCTGGAGCCGCCCGCAACTGCTGCAGCAGCCCCTGGAGCCGCCAGCACCTGCAGCAGCAGCCCCTGGAGCCGCCAGCACCTGCAGCAGCAGCCCCTGGAGCCGCCCGCAACTGCTGCAGCAGCCCCTGGAGCCGCCAGCAACTGCAGCAGCAGCCTCTGGAGCCGCCA